TCCTAGGGAACTTCTGTTGGAGCCAAGCCTGTCCGAACCCTCCCATCTCCGTTGCCAGGACTGCCTCGACGGTCAGACTCAAAGAAGTTTTTGAACACGCCAGAAGCGCAGATAAAGAAAGTGCGCAAGGTTGCTCATCAGAGGAAGGGTGCGCACTCGGGCCTCTGACGCGCGTTGGCCGTTGGCCATGAGACCAACTTGTCCCGCCGCCGAACTGAAGTGCCATCCCTGTCGCGCGGAATGTTAGAGACCGTCTCAGCCTGCGCGAACCCTCGCATCTCCGTTGCAAGGACTGCCTCGACGGTCAGACTCAAGAGGGTTTTGAACCGACGCATCCCTGTCGTGCGACATGTAACGACACGCATCGGCCCAATGGAAGTTCCTTGGGTGTTCGTCACATCGCTCGCCCGCGGAAGCCGATGGAAGTAAAGCGAGGCGGAACACGGCGGAAGGCCGCCGGAAGGTTCGCGGAAGACAGCGGGAGGGAATGACGCCCTGTCCGAGCCCCCCCCCCGTAGAAGCCTAGCAATGTAGTCTTATGCCGTGGGCCGAGCGGGATCCCGCCTAAATTATTGCCCTTTTACTATTATAAGTTTAGTTCAGGCAAGTTAGAGCCCCATTCAGCAAAAATGGGGGAAACAGAAATCCCGGGTCGTTCACGGATCCCGCCATGCTGGGATCGGCTCGAAGTAAGCCTGGGCCCCGAAGTTGTAGCGTTCTTGGCGCGTCAAGGTCGTCTTGAGGTCATCTTGACATCATATCTCGGTCATGCTTGGCTCGCGCAGCCGTCGCGTGTCCATTCCGGGGCCACCCTGGGCGCGCGGGGATCCATCTTGTTGCCATCAAGCCATCTCGGCGCCACTCGTGGCCCCATTGTTTGTTCATTTCCGGGTCGGCCTGCCACGGTCCAGAATCCATGGCGGGATCGCGTTGGGGCGGCGTCATCCCAGGGTCAGCTGGACATTATCGCCTCTGGCCACAGGCCCTCCTGGAACTATTTTGCAGCCGTGGGGGCGTCTTGGGATCTCGCGCGCGCGAGCGCTCAGCACTCGGTCGCGACAACCCATCTCGCCGATGGGCGTGCACGCATATATTTCCTGTTGCGAGTTTCCAAGGGGAGGAGAACGACGACAAGGACGAGGAGGAGGAAAGCCCCTCCTCCGCCTCCCCCTCTTCCTCCTCCTCGAACACGCCGCCTCAGCACGGCTCCTCCGGGCCGCTTGGAGGAAGAGCCTGGCAGGACAGTGACGCCCCAAGCCGGCCCCCAAGGCAGCCCCCAGAGACCCACAGGTACCGCCCTCAGGAGCCCCGACCCACTCCTAAGAAAAAGGCTCCAGGACGCCCTCAGCAGGCCCCAGGGGAATCCCCGAGAGGGCGACAACACGTCTTCGGAGAGGGGCTGGTGGAGGAAGTGGAGGAGAGAGGAGGGCGGAGGAGGAAAAGAACGGGGGCGAAGACTCTTTCAGTGTGGTGGCTCAGGGCCGCGGCGGTTCAGGCTGGAGCGAGCTCTAAAATCCCCCCCTCCCCCAGACATCCGACGTAGCATTTTTATTCACAACGTGGCTCCACAGAAGCCTGGGCCCCTTCCAAGGGTGGTGGTGGTGGTGCGATAGGGGGCGACCTCCTGAGAAGAAGCCTGGGGGGCTTGAGAAGCCTGGGGGGGCTCCTCAAATCCCATCCCGACCCCAGGGCCCGGCGAGGCACAAGAGATACGTAGAATATGCGGCCGGCTGCGGCAGCCTCCGCAAACCAAAATATCAACGGAGGGTTTCTGCAAATGTTCGGTCCTCGCCGGGCGCCAGGACCGTCAAAACACGACGCAGGATGCAAAGCCAGTCCAGGTGAATAGGCCCTGACCTCTGGGAAGCCACGTCGTGACGAAATCACGACGTCGTATGGCTGGGGTGCGGCAGCGAGCTTGCCGTGGCGGCACGCACGAGGGGGTGGCGCAAGGGTGGGTGGCCTTCTGAAAGGTCGGGCTGCATCTCAGAAGGCGGGGGGCTTCTCAGAAGGGCCTGGGGGCTTCTGAGAAGGCTCACAAGAGGTCGGGATGGGGTCTGAGGAGCCCTCCAGGCTTCTGAGGAGCCCCCCAAGCTTCTCAGGAGGCCGCCCCCAGCTCGCCCCCCACCCCTTCCCCTCGTGCGCGCCGTCAACTGCTGCAAAAGCGTTGGCAAACTTCGGATGTGGAGTTGAGACCGTCAGCGCTTGGGCAAAGATCGCAGAGGAGGGGATGAGAGCGGGAATGGGCGGAAGAGCGGGTGCGGAGGCCTCCAGAGGCCCCTAGAAGCCTCCAGAGCTCTCTGGAGCCGTTGCTTCGGCGGCCTCCGGGGGAAAATGTGAAAGGAGGGAGTGGGAGATGAGGGGGATGCCGCCGGCACGTGTCATAGCAGACCTGGAACTCCAAGGAGGACCCAATCGTGTCCTGCTCAAGCGGTGCATGTGAGCGTCGTACTTTGAAGGAGAGGGAGGAGGAACTGGCGGATGAACAAGAGGATGAGCAACCGGGGAAGAGGATAAGGAAGGAGGAGGAGGAGGACGAGGACACCTGTCGCGCCGCTACACAAAGTTCGTCATGCTTCACCAGGTTATCGGCATGATATGGGCTTCCTCCGTCACTTCCACGCGGGCGGGCGGACGGAGGCTGGCCCCTGTTCCGATCGTGCCGAGCTGGCTCCCCCTTCCCCTTAGAATCCTCGCGGGCTGAATGACGAGCAATCGGATCAAAGATCCGCGATTGTTGAATCGAGGATACTATTCAATGGTACAACATTATATGTGTTCTAAAACGGTGCACTGATAACTCCCCATATATTATCTGTTACATCAAAATTAAACATGGTTTTAATTATCCCACCAGACGAAGGGTTTTCCCTGCGAGTGAAAGGTGATCGCGCTTCACTTCGTCACACAACTGTCGGAACGCCGATGCAGCAGCGGCAGGAGCTGGAGTGGAAGGAGCGGGAGGAACAGAAGGACCAGGGAAAGGAAAGGAAAGGACAGAAAGGACTCGGATCCAGAAAAGTGGCCCGCATTGGGGCGAGGGCGCCAGTCTGAATGACAGGATCAGAGCACCGATTCTAGATGAGGCCCCCGATACAGCAAGAACAACATCTAGAAACACTGGGAGGGTCCCGATTGGGAAACAAGGGTGAGAAGACAGACCACATACTTGTACCCGATGTAAACAGCAAGACTCGGAGATGGCGGGACAAGTTCCCGACAGAGTCCGGGGAGAAGGGAGAGCACTATGCATATCGAGTGCGTAAGTGTGGAGGGGGAGGCGCGGGGGACGCGGTGCGAAGAGAGGTAAGTCCCCTCTCGCCTTCCCCATCGCCTGACCTCCTAGTCCCCCCAAGCCATCTGATTGCTCTTTCAAACTAGACGTTTTCCCTACTTGCATCTCCAGGGACTGTTTTTCGGGAATGGACCATCAGAAAAGCAATCGGGGCAAGAAGCGAACCCTGGGGAATGGTGGGTCTGGGTCCCCCCTCCCTCCCCCCCCCCCGATGCCCATGTTCCCGCTTTTCCTCATTCCACTTTTTACACTCCGCATGTTCCCGCACACTTTCAGATATGCCAGATACGGTCCCTGCTCTCTAGCAACGATTCGCCCATACCAGATATCGCAGCATGCCGCGACGGCGCAACTGATGAATTACTTGCTCAGTTGCGAGATGCGTTGAATTATGGTCATTATGAGCGGACCCACTTGATCAAGTGGCGACTTCTCAGGTATCTCCGTGGGCGCGATTAAAAGGTACTGCGCCAGATTAGGGGGCGATTAAGGCGGGTCCAATCAGCAACATGAAACCAGACTATGTTGGACTAGGCTGCAGTAGCGCAGGGTAAGCGGGAAAACCGAGGACTCCTTAAACCTTCAAAGAACTGCATCACAAAAGAAGCGGTGGCCAGTAGTGGGGGAGCCGTGTTCTGAAAATTGTTGCTGCCGCATTCTGCAACGGCGAGTGTGAGTGGGGCCCTTCGTTTTTCGCCGCAGCACTGCCTCTTGCGAAGCACGTTGCTCATCGCGAAACTGCTTCGAAAGGGGTCCGTTCGCCCATAAACCGTCATGCGCGCGCTGCTTGCCACATGCCCCCGCGCATCTTCCCTACTTCTCTCCGTCTCTCCGTCCTCAACAGCAACCACGCACCTCGCAACAGAATCGCTGGCGGGAGGCCCGGGGCCGCCTCCCCCCACGGCTGGTGCCCGAGAGACGGCCCCCTTCGGATCCCGAGCCGAACACCCTCAGGTCGAGGTCAAAGACAAGTCCTTCTGCTCGGGGGATTCCCTGTAGCAGCACGTCTGGGTCTCCCCAAGCCGTCCCATGATGCCTTGCGGAGACCTCCCCATGGCAGGGAATCCTGGAGCCGCCAGGGCTGCCTTCTAATTTCCGCATGGGTCCAAGGAGCGGCCCGAGCACTGGAGCCCCTCCTAAGCCCCAAGCGGCCCTTATTCCAGCATCTCTACTGCAGCCTGAGCCCAGGATGAAGCCGGACTGAGCGGGACCATGAGGAATTCGGCGGACGCGTGCAGGATTAAGCCGGCTTTCAACCACGGATATGCAAGCGCCGATGCTGAATTTAATCTTCCAAGCGTTGCATCCGACGCCCCCTCCCCCCCCCCCCCGGCGGCGGCAGCCTGCCGCAAGGTGCCAGAAAGGACCAGGAAGACGCGGGCAGCCGCGCAGAAGCGGCACGGGCAAAGACGGCGAGGGCGGCAATGACGGGCGGAGCGGCGGCGAAATCTGCGGTCTCAGGCATCTGGCACTGTCTTCTTTCCAAAACGTGGCTCCCCAAAGGTCTGGACCTCTACCCTGAGACGGGCTATCCTTTGTGTTCTTTGTGTGAGTTCCCGGGGCCCCGTGGGAGCCCCAGGAAAATGGGCAACATACCCTCCTTTGAGATTTGTTCGCTACGAGAAGATGTCAGGACGGACGTCTACTTTCAAGAGAGACAGAGAGAGAGAGAGCGGGAATCGCGCGGCCCCCGTTTCCGTGCGACCTGCGCAGCCCTGGTCTTGATGTTCTTCAACTTGTGCCCCTCGTCCGCGATCAGTAAATGCCTTCCCCTTCAGAACTCCGACGTTGCGATTTTGACAAGCCGTGAGCCCCTGAGCTCCCGACCCAGGGGCAGCATTTGCTGTACCGAGTCAGTGCTTGGTGGTCCCAGGGCCCAGAAACGTCCCGCGGAGGCCGAGATCGAGGGAAATCGCCAAGTCCGAACAAAACAATCCGTCCGCCAGAAGTCTGGAACCCCGTTCCCACGGTAAACCACGCCGTCACAGCCTCCCTTCACTCGTAGACTTTTTCAGACGAGCACAAAGATTTTCAACAAGAAGATCGCAGCCAGGCAAAATTCGTACGTATGCGCGCTATTTATACGCGTGTATATATATATACATATATATACATATAAATATAGTTATATATGCATGCGCAAACATGCATGTATGTGAGCAGGTACGTATGCATGTATGTATGCATGTATGTATGTATGCATGCATGCATACATGTATGTATGTATGTATGTATGTATGTATGTATGTATGTATGTATGTATGCATATATGTATGTATGTATGTATGTATGTATGTATGTATGTATGTACGTGTATGTATGTATGTATGTATGTATGTATGCATGCATGTATGTATGTATGTGTGTATGTATGTATGTATGTATATATGTATGTATGTATGTACATCTACATTCACAAACACACATATATATATATATATGTATATACGTGCGCATTCCCCAAACAATGTTTGCATTTAGGTGCTCCTTCTTGTTTATCACGAGGTTGGGCCTGCGGGGCGGCTCAGCGGTTCCGTGACCGTCGTCGCTAGCCCGTTGCCATATCGTCGCCGCCCGTCGTCTGGGCCTGCGTGGCGGTCTGGGGTTCCATGGTCGCCGTCGCCGCCTCGTCGTCGCCGTTTCGTCGCCGCCCGTCGTCTGGGCCTGCGTGGCGGTCTGGTGGCTCCGTGGTCGTCGTCGCGGCCCCGTCGTCGCCACCTCGACGCCGTCCAGTTTGTGGGCGTGCGTGGCGGTTGCGGCTCCGTGGTCGCCGTCGCCGCCCCGTCGCCGCCTAGATTGCACCACCTACATAGCACCACACGGATTGCAAAGTATTGCAAATCGTAGGTTATCTCTTTTTATTATCGAAGTTGGGATTATCGACCGTTCGGATCTACCGCCCCCCGAAGTTGGGATTATCGACCCTTTTTTGGGGATGCGCCATTTACGCACGATTCTGCCCGATCGTTGACTCTGAATATAAATTCAGACCGCCCCACCCAGGCTGGGTTCGACCCCCCCCACCGCCATCCTCTGCAACAGTTTTCCGCCCGCGCCCGTTTATCACATAGTCGCAATGTGCGAGTAGTTCTTGCAGGGAGTGGTACGATGTGCGCACACCGTGGGTTTCGTATGGGCTGCAAAACTGAACGTTCCGAAAACACATCAAAGCGCATGGCCGAAAGGCCTGCACGAATTTCTGCCAATCCTTATTACAACACTTGTTTTTCTAGCATGTTCATCATGGGCGAACAAGCGGGCTCCTCGTGCGCGCGTACCAAAATCATTACTCTGCCTTTGCGCCCGCGCTGGGGGAGGGGGGGGCACGACCCTTGTCAAATAACGCGATGCGGTTCACTCGCGCCCGTCGGACGCGCGCGCATGTTGAAATTCTTGTTTCTCAAAAATCTTCGTCATTGACACATGATCACCATCATCGTCATCGGCGTGATCAGCATCGGCGCCGTCATCGCCCTTGACGTCGTCATCGTCGTGACGACACCACCATCGCTCCAATCATCGTGTCTGCCTTTATCGACGTCGCCATAACACCGCGCCCGCCCGAGTCATCGACTCGCGCCGAAGTGCCCGCGTGTCAGCGCGGCCTGCGAGATGCGCTGGGAAGTCCCCGGCGGTCAACGTCACCGCGGCCGCGCCGCCGGAAGTGGCAGACTAGCTGCGCGTGAGCCCGCGCGCGCGCCAATGCGGCCGCGCCGATGTGCCAGCCAGCGCCAAGAAGACATCGCAATCGCCGCCGCATGGGTTTTACAAACCAATTTCGCTCGGGCGGGTGGGATTATTGCGCGAGCAATGGAGTTAACAACTTCAAGTTCTGCACGGTGAAGCGCGCAAAAGAGGTTGCACCGCACAAAGTCCACAACATAGACTGCACCACGTACGCCGCCTAGATTGCACCAAATAGACTTAACAAAATAGATCCGCCTTCCCCACAACATGATCGACCCACGAACCCGGAAAGGAAAATAGAAATGTAAGCCATGGCAGCGTTTCACAGACCCCTGATTGGGCGACGGGCAAATGCAATTCTTAGTGTATCGATCTTGATGTACCGTGCCGAAGGCTGTGCTGTGCAGCGCTGTTCTGAATTGCGATGTGCCGTGCCACGCTTGCGCTCTATAGCGTTGTGGATCGAGTCCTCCTTTGCATCGAGTCCTGACTGAACTGATCTGGATCTTAAGCTCGAGCTGCCTGAGCACATAACTAGTAGCTGCCCCGGAGCTGATTGACAGGGGAACATGCCAGGAGGACGCGCCGCTGCACGTCCCAAACGACATGCCAGGTGACGTGCTCTAGGGGACGCACCGCGGGACGTGCCAAGGGGACGCGCTACGGAACGTGCCAATGGACGTGCCACGGGACGTGCCAAGGGACGCGCCGCGCGACTACCAGGGGGACCCGCCACGGGGCGCGCCACGGAACGTGCCAAAGAACGTGCCAGGTTGCAATGCTGAATGTATCGATCTTGATGTACCGTGCCGAGGGCTGTGCTGTGCTGCGCCGTGCTGAACTGCGATGTGTCATGCCGCGATTATGCTGTATAGTGTTGTGGATCGAGTCCTCCTTTGCATCCGAGTCCTGACCGAACTGATCTGGATCTTAAGCTCGAGCTGCCCTAGCACATAGTAGCTGCCCCAGAGCTAAGTGACAGGAGAACATGCCAGGAGGACGCGCTGCTGAACGTCCCAAGGGACGCGCCAAGCGCGGTGCCAAGGGACGTGCCACGGGGACGCACCGCGGGACGTGCCGAGGAGACGCGCTACGGAACGTGCCCATGGACTTGCCACGGGACGTGCCAGGGGACGCGCCGCGCGACGTGCCAGGGGGACTCGCCACGGTACGCGCGCCAGGATGCCAAAGAACGTGCCAAGTTGCAATGCTGAGTGTATCGATCTTGATGTACCGTGCCGAAGGCAGTGCTGTGCTGCGTCGTGCTGCACTGCGATGTGCCACGTGACGATTGTGCTTTGTAGAGTTGTGGATCGAGTCCTCCTTTGCATACGAGTCCTGACCGAACTGATCTGGATCTTAAGCTCGAGCTGCCTGAGCACACAGTCCACATAGTAGCTGCCCCAGAGCGAATCGACAAGGAAACATGCCAGGAAGACGCGCCGCGGAACGTTCCAAACGACGCGCCAAGCAACGTGCCAGGGGACGTGCCACGGGGACGCACCGCGGGACGTGCCAAGGGGACGCGCTACGGAACGTGCCAATGGACGTGCCACGGGACCTGCCAGGGGACGCGCCGCGCGACGTGCCAGGGGGACTCGCCACGGGGCGCGCCACGGAACGTGCCAAAGAACGTGCCAAGTTGCAATGCTGAGTGAGTGTATCGATCTTGATGTACCCTGCCGAGGGCTGTGCTGTGCTGCGCCGTGCTGAACTGCGATGTGCCATGCCGCGATTATGCTGTATAGTGTTGTGGATCGAGTCCTCCGTTGCATCCGAGTCCTGACCGAACTGATCTGGATCTTAAGCACGTAGTCCCCATAGTAGCTGCCCCAGAGCGAACTGGCAAGGAAACATGCCAGGAAGACGCGCCGCGGAACGTTCCAAACGACGCGCCAGGCGACGTGCCAGGGGACGTATCACGGGGACGCACCGCGTGACGTGCCAAGGGGACGCGCTACAGAACGTGCTGGGGACAACCGTCGTGTTGGTGGCCTGGACACGTAAAAACACGGTGCCAGCTCGGGACAACCATGTTAGATACCCCCTGGGTGGCTTGGGCACGTACAAACACGTGGTTCCAGCTCGGGACAATCATGTTAGAGATCTCCCTGGATGGCCTGAGCATGAAAAAACACGTGGTTCCAGCTCGGGACAGCATGTTAGATACCCCCCTGCGTGACCTGGATACGCTGAATTCGCGCTCCCGCTCGAGAGATCCTCGCAACGTCTTCCCTGGAGAGGCCCCCGAAGCGCCCCCTGTTCAGAGCAAGAAAACATAACTTTTCTGTATTGGGACATGTGTTCGGGTAGCGCTTTTCGGTCACCGTGCGTTTCCTCATAGTTCGGCGTTGGGCCCGACGCCATGTTAGATACCCCAACTCTGCAAAACCAGCGTTTTGCTCGAGACATCCTCAACACATTCTGAACAACAAGCGTTTCGCTCGAGACGTCCCCCAACTCTGCAAAACCAGCGTTTCGCTTGAGACATCCGCAACAAATTATGAAAAACAAGCGTTTCGCCTGAGACGCCCTCAAAAATAATTCCGCTGGCCTCCTTTAAACTCGTCATTTATCGCAAAAGAACGCCGGCCATCTTCAAGTCGAAACCGGCGGCAACAAAACTAAAAAAGAACCCTGGGCCTACGCCCCTTCCGGGAAAAAATGATCTACCACCCCCTCCCCACCCCAGGGTTGTCAGTCCACCTTTTCGCACTGCAATGTGCATGCGATTCTGCCCCTGTCGCCCATCCTATAAATGAACCCATAACATCCCTGGCAGGCCAGAATTCGCACCCCCCCCACTCCTCATCCTCTTCAAAACAAATATTACGCGCGCGCACTCGTAATTCACAAAATGATAAGTTTTCAACAGAACAACCTTGCAGAGCGAATTGACAAGGAAACATGCCAGGAAGACGCGCCGCTGAACGCTCCAAACGACGCGCCAAGCAACGTGCCAGGGGACGTGCCATGGGGTCGCACCGCGGGACGTGCCAAGGGGACGCGCTACGGAATTGCCAATCGATTTGCCACGGGATGTGCCAGGGGACGCGCCACGCGACGTGCCAAAGGGACT